GGAGGAGCTAGCACGTAATAGCAACTAGCACGCAACTCGAGTTGCCTATATGACCTATCACTAGTACCCACCATGGGAGGTCCGAGCAAATTCGAGAACCTACCATTTGAAAAAAAGGGGGCTTGGCGGTAGTCTAAAGACCAAATAGATAGTTGGAAATACGCAGACACAGAGCCCATACATAGCATCAAATATAAGGCTAAGTGGAGTTGAAACTTAGAAACCCTGGTGGGGACATAGAGAATACAGTATAGCAACCGTGCTAGATACATACCTCTCTATAAGTTATCTCTTTACGTTTATCATATACAAATTATTTTGTTGATGTTGATTGCCATTGAGCAAACATAGAATCGGCTACAAAAAACACGCCTTAGATATATTAAAAAATGTGTTTTGATTAATGCATTCTCTTGTACATTCGGAGAGAGAGACACCCATCTATTGGTGGTATATAGTACATGTATGCAAATGTTTAAGCCGATTATTGAATCATTGTACCTGGCAACTGTTTGTATTTTTCATGACAAGACAAATATTTTAAAAAATAAATAAATACATATAGAATTAGAATATCACTTTTTTTCTGGGAACAATGCAGAATACTAACTACAAAGCTGAGTTTCAACTGCTCTATGTGTCCAGATGTTCTACAAATGTCACAGGTCTTCACTACATTGTATTTTAGTGTTTTATATTGTTCTGATATAAAAGTATGTGGGGTCTAGGACACCAGTTATAGGATTATATAACAAAGAAAAAAAGACTCAGGCACTCACTGTGTTCTAATCAAAGCAGTTTATTAGACCATTATGTGCACCGTAACGTTTCAACCTTCACCGAGGACTTTGTCAAGTGTGTATGTATGTATATAACATAATATATGGTGACCACAGACCACTTCTCAGTTCCTATGCTTCCTGCCTGATGTTTTGGTCACTTTTGAATGCTGGCGGTGCTTTCACTCTAGTGGTAGAATGAGAAGGAGTCTACAAACCACACAAGTGGCTCAGGTAGTGCAGCTCATCCAGGATGGCACATCAATGCGAGCTGACTGTCAGCGTAGTGTCCAGAGCATGGAGGCACTACCAGGAGACAGGCCAGTACATCAGGAGATGTGGAGGAGGCCGTAGGAGGGCAACAACCCAGCAGCAGGACCGCTACCTCCTCCTTTGTGCAAGGAGGAACAGGAGGAGCACTGCCAGAGATTTGATTTCCATTTTTTAATTTTTGTGTGATTTTGTTGTCAGCACATTCAACTATGTAAAGAACAAAGTATTTCAGAAGAATATTTAATTCATTCAGATCTAGGATGTATTATTTTTGTGTTTATTTTTTTTGAGCAGTGTATATGAGCTTTTTTTTTTCTCAGCACCCTTTTGTCCTCTCTATTGCTTATTTCTTACTTGATTTATAAATAAACTAAACATTTATTGACTGACCCTTAGCCATCAAGCATTATTCCACTATATTTCTGGCCCCAAAACCCCAGGGAAAAAGACCCTTTAGATCTAATTCTAGATCTAAAGGGTCTGAATACAAAATTGATGACAAGAACATTCAAGATGGAGTCTATTACCACTATCCTGCCCAATATAAAGCCAGGGAACTGGATGACATCTATCGATCTCAAAGATTCCTATTATCAAATTCCTATTCACAACAGTCATCGCCGGTTCCTGAGGTTCTGGATTTCGGGGAATCACTACCAGGTCAAGGGACTTCCCTTCGGATTAAGTTTTGGCCCCCAGAACGTTTTCAAAGATCCTTATTTCCCTGGTAGCCTTTATAAGAACAAAGAACATCGAGCTTTATCATTATCTCAACGATTTTTTAATAATAGGCCCATCCAGACATATTGTGAATCTCCACACCAGAATTACCATCTCATACCTTCAAGAGCATGGTTGGTCGATAAATCCCAAAAAGAGTTCTTTGGTTCCGTCACAGAGGATGATATTTTTGGGAGCAAATATAGATTCGGAGAAAGGCCTGGTATCCCTATCTACAAAAAGAAAGGAGCGAATCGTGAAGAAAATCAGAGGACTGCGTCAGGAATCCTACATCACAGCAAGAGAATTCATGAGCCTATTGGGGTCTCTTACTTCCATGATAGGCCTAGTGAAATGGGCCCAATGGAAGATGCGACCTATTCAGAGGCATTTTCTCATGCACTTCGATGCAAAAACAGGGAATTGGGATCAGAAGATTCGTTTCCTCCCGAGGATTTCAACAGATCTGTATTGGTGGACAAAAGAAAAAAACCTATGTCAAGGGTTTCCCCTGGAAGAACCAGTTTGGATAACCATAACAACAGATGCCAGTCTCCTGGGATGGGGAGCACACTTGAACAGCTCGTGGATTCAAGGAACATGGTCATGGAAGGAGTCAAAACTTCATTCTAATTTAAGAGAAATGAGAGCGGTTCTCAGGGCGCTAAAGGGGTTCCGTCATCTCCTGAGGAATGCTTGGGTGAGAATACATACAGACAACAGAGCGGTCGCATCTTATATAAATCATCAGGGAGGCACCCGAAGCTATTCTCTTCTGATGGAACTATCTCCTATAATGAAGTTTGCGCAACGCCATTTACAAGGGTTGAAAGCTGTTTACCTTCCAGGGCCAGAAAATTTATTAGCAGATTATCTCAGCAGAACAAGGATTCTCCAGGGAGAGTGGAAGTTACATCCGGACGTATTTCAGTTGGTAACCCTGAGGTGGGGAGTACCCCAGATCGATCTTATGGCATTATACAACAATACCCAGGTAGAAAAGTTTTACTCTCTACATGCGGATACTCGAGCAGCAGGACAGGATGATCTGTCCCTTACATGGAAATTCGACCTGGGGTACGCCTTCCCTCCCCTACCTAGGATTTACAGACTACTAAGAAAGATATGGAAAGAAGGTCTGAAGATAATTGCCATCATCCCAATTTGGCCTCGCAGACCTTGGTTTCCTCTCCTGAACAAGATGAGCCTGGAACCTCCTTGGCCTCTTCCTCAGACATCTTGACCCATGGACCGGCTGTTCATCCAAACCCCAACCAGCTGAAATTGGGGGCATGGCTCTTGAAAAGGAGAGACTTCTAGCTCAAGGCATTTCTGAGCCTGTGGTTAATACCCTCCTCAAATCCAGAAGAGGGTCGACTTCTTCTTGCTACCATAAGATATGGGAGGTGTTTCGTTCCAGGTATCTTGCTAACAACGTTGATTTCCTGCAGCCCTCTAACATCAATATTCTAAATTTTCTTCATACAGGCCTGGAAAAAGGACTGAGCCTTAGTACTCTGAAAGTCCAATCATCAGCTTTATCTGCCCTCTGCAACAAGTCATGGGCATCTGATCCTATTATTGCCAGATTCTTTAAAGCAACAATTCGCATGAGACCTCCGAAAAGGATCTAATGAAACTTATTTCAGCATTATCTGGTTTAGAGTAAAAAAAATTTTTCCCCTCCCTATGGTGAAGCTTGGGTATTACTCATAAGTGATGCTGCCATGATTAGCCAGGAATACAGAAAATTTTATCATACTTACCGTAATTTTCTTTTCCTGGCTATTATTCATGGCAGCATCAGCAACCCTCCCTTAAGTATTTATGAAGCTTTGGAACTCGACTGTGGGTTGACAGTTAATAATTCAGTTTTGCCACCTGCTGATGGTGTCTCTTTAATTTAATTAAAGGAATACCCAGCCTGGTGTTGACACTACCACCCCCTTTTTTCTTAGTATATTGTGTATGCACATAAACAAGTTAAATTTATTGCTTGTGGTAGAAATGAAGCACCCCTAGTGGCCGTCTGAGTGACAGCCACTGGAGGTGTCCCTAGGGAGTTTTGTAAACATTGCCTTTTATTAAAAAATGTATGCAGGGAGTGAGTATACACACCAGAACAACTACATTAAGATGTAGTTGTTCTGGTGCCCTCACAATAAAATAGCTTTTTCTCCATTCCATCCATTCAGGGAACGGTACTGTGTAGAGATGAGCGAACCCAAACTGTAAAGTTCGGGTTCGTACCGAACATTATGATTTTTGGAACCCGAACACGGACATTTCAGTAACAGTTCGGGTTCGAATTCGGTGTTTGGCGATTTAATGGCGCATTTTGAAAAGCTGCAGGGCAGCCAATCAACAAGCGTTTGACTCGTGTGCCCTTAGAAGCCATCACACCCATGCCTACTAAGGGCATGGCTGTGATTGGCCAGTGCAGCATGTGACCCAGCCTCTATATAAGCTGAAGTAACTGTATTAATTACGCCTGTCACACTGTTTTTTTTTCTCTTTAGGACACCGGCACTGCCTTACTGTCAGTGAACTTAATTGTTGACTATTGGCGGTTACACCTGACATAAACCATCTGTTAGTTTGGGTCTGAGCCGGATAGCAGTTTGGCACATGTCCTTCCGCCACTGAGGATTGCAGGGCAATTGCACTTTGCCTCCTGTTGCCTCCTCCTCCTACTCAGCTTCCTCGTCCTTCTCTACCACCTCCTCATCCCGTCAGCGTAGCACCTTCACCACCAACTTCAGCACAGCCAGGGGGAAATGACAGCAGGCTCTTTTAAAACTCATATGTTTTGGGGGAAAAACCCCACACCGCATAGGAGCTGTGGACGGGCATGGAACAACAGACCGATAAGTGGTTGCTGCCACTGAGCCTCAAGCCCGGCCTGGTGGTGTGCGATAATGGGCGAAATCTCGTAGCAGCTCTGGGCCAGCCGGTTTGACGCACATCCCTTGCCTGGCGCATGTGCTGAATTTGGTGGTGCAGAAATTCCTGAAAAACTACCCAGATATATCAGAGCTGCTGCAGAAAGTGAGGGCCGTCTGTGCGCGCTTTCGGCGTTCTCACCCTGCTGCTGCTCGCCTGTCTGTGCTGCAGCGTAACTTCGGCCTTCCCACTCACCGCCTCATATGCGACGTGCCCACAAGGTGGAACTCCACCTTGCACATGCTGGAGAGACTGTGCGAGCAGCAGCAGGCGATAGTGGAGTTTCAGCTGCAGCACGCATTGTGTCAGTCGCTCTGCACCAGACTTGCCCTCCAATACATCCTCGTTATAGTATTTAAAGTGTACTCATTCCAATTACAGGGCCTCGAAAGAGTCTTGTATTGTTATTTATCGTCACTACTTCCCCGCGTCGGGAGTGGGTGCGCCTGCCTGCTGCCTTCCTTGGATGTTGTAGCTGTTTCTCATGCTCCTTCTCCGGAATCGAACCCTGATTCCCCATTACCCATGGTCACCATGGTAGGCACAGAAAGTACCATCGAAAGTTGATAGGGCAGACATCCGAATGCATCTTCGCCGTCACGGAGACATGCGATCTGCCCGGGGTTATCTAGAGTCACCAAAGTGCCTGCACAAAGACTGCCGAGTTGCCCACATTCTAACTTGTGCTGATTACTGGGTGGCCACCCTGCTGGATCCCCGTTACAAGGACAATGTGCCATCCTTAATTCCCTCACTGGAGCGTGATCGGAAGATGTGCGACTACAAGCGCTGGTAGACGCGCTGCTGAAGGCATTCCCAACTGACACGGGGGCTCAGTGGAAGCATAAGGAGGAGGAGGAAGAGGTCGGCAACGCAGCTGGGGCACCACCAGCACCTCAGAAGGCAGGGTTAGCATGGCCGAAATGTGGAAAAGCTTTGTCAGCACGCTACAACAACCAGCACCACCAGCTGATATGGAACGTTTTAGCAGGAGACAGAATTTTAGCAACATGGTGGAACAGTACGTGTGCACACGCCTACACGTACAGAGTGATGGGTCTGCCCCAGTCAACTTCTGGGTCTCTAAATTGGGCACATGGCCTGAGCTTGCCCTTTATGCCTTGGAGGTGCTGGCCTGCCCTGTAGCCAGTGTATTGTCTGAACGTGTGTTTAGCATGGCAGGGGGTGTTATCACAGACGAGCGAAGTTGCCTGTCCACAGCCAACATGGACAAGCTCACGTTTATTAAAATGAACCAGGCATGGATCCCACCAGACTTGTCTGTACCTTGTGCAGAATAGACATTTATACCGGCCTCACCCAGCCATTGTTACTCAAGTGCACTTATTCTTTGTTTTCTTTTTTTATATGTACCAATATTTTGGGGGCTACCCCAATTGTTTGCAGAGCATTTGTCCTACTCTTACCCCCATTTTACTTCATTTTGCAGCCCTCTAGCCCTTTCCAGGACTTTTACTCTTACCCCCATTTTACTTCATAAAATGCAGCCCTCTAGCCCTTTCCAGGACTTTTTTAGAGCCATTTTAGTGCCCAAAAGTTCGGGTTTGGGGTCAAGTTTGGGTCAAAGAACTCTTTGCCGAAGTTCGGCCGAACCCAGTGAGACCGAACATCCAGGTGTCCGCTCAACTCTAGTACTGTGGATCAAGAATGGAAACAAGCATGTGCAGGCTTGTACAAAGTTCCCCTGGAAATCTAGCACATGGCCGCTCAGAAATTGTAATAGAGAGAGAGAGAAAGATATTCCATAGTATCAGATTGGCACTTACAAGACTTGTTACAGAAATATAAATAGGTGTCAAAAGTTTTAGACCTCTGAGGATAACAACATAAAAGGCATTTTTGTTCATGGTGTTTGTTAATGAAATAATACAAAAGGAAGTTGGGTTGGAACAGGTACGCGGTAGCGACCATGCCAACAGTCCAGAGATGACCAAATTCGACTCCTCTGAGGTTAGCTTGATAAAATTTATTTATTTATTTGTAAAAATATTTTACCAGGAAGGATACATTGAGATTTCTCTCATTTTCAAGTATGTCCTTGGTCCACAAAACATTGCATTGATACAATAGGGTACAATAAAATACAAAAACAATATTAATACACAATATATACAAAATTTAACATAGAACAGGTAGGAAATATATACTCAACCATGACAGGTGCATTCTGTTTTGAGATATGTAGAGAGGGATCTATTAAAGTATTTTAGGCTTGGGGAAGATTTTAAAATGCTCTATTAGGAGCCAAAACATTGCTGATCATCATCCAATAACTTTGCCTGCACCTTAGACCTGTGCCCAGTCTTTTTTCTTTTTACTTCTGAAATAAAAACTGAATTCTTTAGCACTGTGCATAGGGGCATTGCTATACTGAAACATGTTGGAACCATGTGTACATCACATATTGAACCTGTATTACCAATGCTAACTCAGGCGTTTAGTGACAAGGTTTTAGGATAACAGAAATAATCCAGTAGTTACCATGGTGACTGCTTCCATTGCAGACCTTTAGGACCAAACTAGTATTAACAAATAGCTTTTCACGTTCGTCAATACTTTTATGATGACTCATAAGCATTAATAAATCATGATTGCAATTTTTTTAAATGTATATGTATATTTACAATGTACACAGACATTGTGATCCACATTCTAGAGAAATGACGGTGTCCATTTCTAGACTTTTTTGTCTTGCTCAAATTACAGAGTAAAATGGAAACAATGAATAATTGTCCTTCAAAACATAATCAGTAGGAGGGAAAAGAATGAGTAGGATATATTGTATATTGTGTAGTTAATTCTTGAAACAGAATTACAGCACAGTGTATCAGTAAAAAGATTTTCTGCTTTCTATTCTTTATCTCCATAGCAAATGTATAGTGGTCAGGTAAAGAGTCAAACACCCGTTAGTCTGATGAAAGAAGTTTATGTAAATTGCAATTCAGATGCAAAGTTCCAAAAGTGGAGCATTACCTATGTTCAAACAAACCAACGGATATAAAATCTAATTTTATCACATGACAGGAGGCTTCATTTATTGCATAATCTTCCTTTACTACTCCATAGCAGCAAAGACATATAGAGAAAAAAAGGAACCAATCAGAGACAGGCAGAGAGGATAAGATAAGCCTTCCACCGAGTCACTTCCTCTTTATTGCTGCTCCATCACAAGTCAGGTCAGAATATTGTGTGTCTACACTTTGTTTTTTTTTTTTACTTATTTACTTGATTGATTTCTGTCTTTTCTTACTGTATATGTATTTATGTAGGGTTTTATCTGAGAGTGGTGATGCTGGTTTTGTTTTGTATAGTATAGACTTGGGATATCTGTGTACCTACTTTATCCCCTTTTATTCCCTGTCAGTTTTTTGTTTATCTTACATTTTATGTCAGTACCACTGGCGGATCCAGGGGGGGGGCAACGGGGCAATTGCCCCCCCCGAGAAATCCGCCGGTCTCCCTCTCCCTCCCCTGTCAGCACATGCAGGTGCTAGCCCTGCGATGTGCCTGCGGACCGGAGGGGAGGTCAGAGCTCTCCCTCCCCGGTCCGCAGGCACTGTGCTGACAGCCGGCGGGGGAGTGAGAGAGAGGACCCGAGAGCTCAGTCTGCAGCTCCTCCGGGTCCTCCTCTCGTGAGATTTGGAGCGTTGCCGCGGTTACCACAGCAACGCTCCAAATCTCGCGAGAGTGAACTCTCCACACTGGACCACCAGGGAACGAAATATGTCCCCCCTCCTCCCCAGTAAAGGTAAGAAGGGAGGGGGGACATAGGATATATATTTTTTTAAAAATTAAATATTTAAAAATATATATTATAAAAAAAAGCCCCCCTCCCCTTAACACACACACATATACATTGCCCCCATGCTGCCCCCCATACACACATACTGCCCCCTCATGCACACATACTGCCCCCCATGCACACATACTGCCCCCTCATACACACATACT